TTCTTTATAAAGACATTGCTGATCCTCATAGTGATCCTACAGACCCTGGGGGAGTTGAAGGTAGTTGCCTTGTCACATGTCCCCAAAACCTCCTTTTGTGTAGATCCCTGGAGGGTCTGCTCTATGCCTCTGACCTAGGTTCCTGCTTTTATTTCCCCCCCCCCAAGGAACCCCTGCATCAAAGAAGGAGCCAACACCAAGTCTGAAGGAGGGACCACTGGAGAACATGTCCTACCAAAATGGTGGCCTATACCAAGAACTTTCCAAGAGAACAGTGAAGGCATGTCCCAAGGACACTGTGCATCAAACTAGAAAGTATTTGGTTCCTTTGGGGCATGGTGGAGCCGGCCTGTAATCTAGCAGCTGGGGAGACTGAGAAGGAAGCATCACAAGTTCAAGGCCAGCCTTAGCAATTCAGTGAGACCTCATGTTAAAAATACAACATAAAAGGACTGGGGATGTATTTAAGTTGTTAATTACCCCTTGGTACAATCCCCAGTACATTTTAAAAGCAACCAGCTCAGATTGCAGGATGATGACAGAATGTTCCAGGAGGGATATCTCCAAAGGAGAAAAAAAGAAAAGCAACTGATAAATTATCTGATGCACATCATCATTCCTGAGAATTTATAGTTCTTTAGAGAACTTGGGTCTTTAACAAACTAAGCAAACCAAAGTAAAGTGTGTGTGTGTGTGTGTGTGTGTGTATGCATGTGTGTATGTGTACACAGTTCTTGGGATTGAATCCAGGGCCTCTTACATGCTAGGCAAGTACTGTACCACTAGCTACATCTCTAGACCAAGTAAATAAAGCCATGAACTCCAAGAAAATAAAAAGTTCAAGAAATTCAATTTAATATACTATGTGAGTCCACAGGAAGTAAAATTAAAATGTATCAGATATAAAAAATGTGATAATTATTGTAAGGAAGGGCTTTTGTGGGAAAGATTTGAGAGCAGTTGGCTTATATTCCATGCAGAGAATTAAGAAATAAAGCCTCAAATTCAAGAGAATAAAGTAGTAGTTGTATAAGGTTGTCATTTGAAAATATTGATGAAAATACTAGGAGTAATGGCTAAGAGTTGAAGGTGGCTGCCCTCAAAAGACGGAATGGGTGGTGGGAAGCAGAGCGGAGGACTGCCATGTGTGATATCTACAGTACCAACTGACATTTAACCATGTATTGGTATTTTGTTGGTGATAACAAAAATATTTTAAGGGTCTGGGGATATATAGCTCAGGGGTAGAACACTTACCTAGCATGTGCAAGGCCCTGGGTTCAATCCCACCACCACAAAAATAGATAAGCAAAATTAAGAAATCATGTTTGATCCTTTTTTGTTTGTTTTTTCAGTCTGATGCCTACTGAGGCACTGATGCTATACAAGGAGCAAATTATTTAAATTGAGAAATAAAAATTATAATCTGTGTATTATGTATATATGCTGGAGTGGCTAAATAAAGTTAATTAACATATGCATCATCTCACATACCATTTTTTGTATGAGGACACTTAAAGCCTACTTTATGGAGGATTTTCAACAGTAAATATATTTTAGTAACAGTAGTCACCATGTTGTACAGTATGTATTTTGAACTTCAGAAAGTTAAGGGACTGGACATTTTCTTCTGTAATTTGTCATGAATGGGTTATTTACATTGAAATTCCCAGTGTATCTTCAGATGTAGTTAAAGTACAGCTTAAATTAATTGCATTAATCATTCATATCTTATGACAATGAGCAAAATGTTAATATATTAAAAGGAATCACTGTAAATTTAAACATCAAATTCATCATGAATTAATTGTCTGCATTATACTTACAGGAGTAAAGTAGATTGTTGGGAATCTTTGAACTGTAGAACGGAATACAAAGCTCCTGTATTTAAAAAAAAAAAAAAAAGGAAAAAAATGGTTTCTAAATCTATTTTCTTTTTTTGGTACTGGGTATTAGACCCAGGGTGCTCAACCACTAAGCCACATGCCCAGTCTTTTTGTTGTTGTTGTTTTTGTTTTGAGACAGGGTCTCACTAAGTTGCTGAGGTTGGCCTCAAACTTGTGATTCTCCTGCTTCAGCCTCCCAAGTTGCTGGGAATTACAGGTGTGCTCCAACTCACCAGCTTCTAAATTTATTTCTAAAGTGAAGGTCTTTGTTAACTTACTCCCTATGTATCATTTAATATTTTAAAATGCTAATCTGAATATGAGGTGCATAAATGAAGTTTAAATCATAAGTATTGGTATGTAAATATGTCTGTAAATAGGCATGAATGAGATGATTAAAAGTAACTTCGTTGATTACCTGGAAGCGTACTTGGGAACTGGTGTAGGAAGAATCTCGTATTGCCCTGGGTAAAGGTGGAGTGACTACATGGAAGGAACAAGGACACAATAATAGATTAATAGAGGTTATAAACTCACTTGATTATCTCTTATTCAATAATCCTTTATTTTATGACCACTCAACATTTCATCATTTATTCTCTGCTTTAATAGTAGGAAAGGTATACCTCTCCAAAGGTTGAGCTCCCAAACATTCATTATGTATTCATTTTCCATGGTGAATTTTATAGACAATCTGCCTGAGATGTTGCGTGGGAAAATGCTGCCTCATTAATCACATTTTGAATTGCTGGAGTCAAAAAATCACTTGGACCATTTATTACAGGGCTGGTGGTGGGAAATACAGTGGTGAGACATGGCCCCTGACAGCAGGGGTGAGAGGCACCTTCAGGAATGATTCTAACACTATAGTCAATGCTGAAATAGATTGACAACCAGGGCAGGAATGGGGGCGGAGAGTAAACCCAATGGGGTGATCTAAAGACAGCAAAGAGGAGGAGATTTGAGGGGGGCATTTAAGAAAGGGAGGACTTCCTCAAGCCGAGCCAGGAGGGATTTCAAGAAGAGACTTCCAAGTGAAACTGTCTTTCTGCCCTATGTCAAAATAGCTGCAGACTACCTAGGTGGCCCCGTTGTCCCTGTATCTGTGGATGCCCAGAGGATGAGGAACAAGGGAGTTCATGAGGGAGAAGAGGATATGTGAAGGGAGGAAGGAGAATGAGGAACAGGAGGGAACAAGGGCCGGAGCTCCAGACCCTGTTGCAGGAGCCGCCAGGCAGGAGCTGGATCAGAAACTCCTCGGGAGGCTGAGGAGAACCATCTCCCTCCATCTCCTGGTATTTTTTTATATAGAATTTTGAGAAATGATGCTGCCTTTGTTGAAAATGAAGCATCCTCATCCTGGCCTAGCTGTCATCTGGAAGTTCAGCTATTATATTTCACCCTGCAGCTGTTTTTCCCATGATAGCACACAATTTTGATTGCAGAGGCAGCTTTTTGTGATACAGTGATAACAGTATATATGAATTTATGATGAAATACACATGCTGTCCCGACGCACCTGTGCTTTACTAATTGCCCACTTGACATAATAAATACAGAGGAAACAAAGGGATTGCATCATACTACAGAAGCAGAGAAACAAATTTTAAGCAAAAGGCTTTCTTGGGGGCCAACAATATCCTATTTCTTGATTTTGGATATGGTTCATG